TATCAGACCTGCCTTCTGGAGACCAGAACCATCCAAGGGGAGGAGACCAGAAAGAGGACATGGCTAATAAGCACAAGGAAGCAAGGGCTCAGGTGAGCTCATTGCCATCTCAGTTTTTAACGGGTGGGATTTGTTGTTTCCTCCTTTCCTGAAGACCTCTACCCAGTGCAGCCTTCCCCAGGATTTGGAGCCCAAGTCCTTTGACCTTGGAGCCCCCGGTCCATGCGCATGGGTGGTGTAGGGAACACTGCCCACATCACCCACATGTAGTGTTTGCTTTCTGTTCTCAATAAACACACTTTGCTCACTCATCTCACTCCACTATCTGATTACTAGTGGGACAGTTCAGAAGCCAGTGGGGACAGAATAAACTCTCAGACTTGGGAAAATTTCCTTCTGGCCTTGCTGCTTTGAGTCATCCACGTCCTCCTCCCTGTCCTTGGCAAGAATGATCCTTTTAACCCCTGAGAATTCTCACAGTGCCTCCCCCTGGCTTCCACAGCCTAAAGTTTTGGGTTTTCTCTCTCTTACCTTTATGGATCATTTGTCTGTAGCAGTGGTGAAAGCTCATCTTGACCTGCCATTTTCATCTTTATGTTGGGGGACAAGCGAGGCACCCATCCAGGCGAGATGGCATGGGAACAAAGGGTAGCCCTGTGGAGAGGACACAGTTGGAAGCCACAGGAGGGTTTCATGGGATATCGGTGGTGGAGAAGCAGTGCACCCAATGTGTAGAGGAGGGACTGCGATGCCAGAGTATGGGTTTTAACCTCTCTCCTCTTTAGCTGTTTGTGGGCTGAAGGCAAACAATTCCACCTAACCTATAAGATACAGAGAACTACTGTGCCTGGCTCCTAGGGTAGGAGACAGGATGGCTTGGGTTAGTGCATAGAGAGTGTTTAGATCAGGCCTTGGCACATGGTAATAGCTTACTGTATGGTTTGTGGCAGCTGAATAATGCTGTCTTAATAACATTAAAAGTTGATGCAAACTGCTTTCCAGTGTTGCTAGGAACCAGAAAATCCTCCTTCATTCTCTACTCATGTTCATTTAACACTTGATGTTTATTGACCATCCAGAATGCAGAGGAATGTGTTGAGGCTTCATATTGGTTATTTCTAGTTCTCAATACAGGAGGGCAGTTAGGATCCTCATTTTAAATACATAAGAGAAAACTGAAGCTCAAAGAAGTCAGGTAGCCACATTCAGGCTCAGTGGATCTGGCCCTCAATCCAGACTTAAATCCTCCAGTGACCCACTGGATCACCTTGGAGAGCATGGCAGTCCAAGTCACATGTCAGCAGCTTACTTTACTAATTTTGGCATTGTCTTTGGACCCACAGTGTGGTGGGGTCTGATCTGAGGCTGCAGTCAGGACCTGCTATCTCCTGATTGGGCAGTGCCATTTCCTTCAAGGCTTTCCCGCTCC